AGAATATTACCTGCGCCATTTGAAATTTTGTCAATTCATTGGTGTGACTGGTGCGACGTCTTAGTCCCAACACGCCTTTTGTCCTTGAACTGACCAATCACACTGCAACACTGCAGAATGACGAGGTATCAGAGAGAGATAGCTACAGGTTGGGACTAATACGTCACGACTCCACCATCATATTTGGCTGTTTGAAATATCGAATGAAATATGCTGATTTCAAAACGATATAGATTCGATTCCCTTCAACTTCAACTCATAATATTGATTGTACATCAAACGTAACTCATGATTCGTCGATTAAAAGAGGTTTGCACGGATTTCTTCTCTCAGTGATCTTCCCCATTCCTTTGGGTATGCAGTCAAAGAAAAACAAAGTGTACTCTTGTTACTGTTCAAGCTTTCGAGTCTTTATTGGCTCTTCTCTATAAAACATGAAAATTGAAATGAAAATTAAATCGTTATTATCGATTGTTGAAACACTTACGGAAAATGAGATTTTGTTGAAGCTGGCTTCCATTAAGTGGGGAATAATACATGTGTAAAAGAACATTCACAACATGAAAACATCAATATTTTTGAAGATTAATAAAAATTTGTTACATTATACTTGAATTATGTCGAGGAAACTTGCAAAGCATTTTTGCTCCGATAATTATTACAAAATGGCTGACAACCAGAAGCAGAACAGTAACATGTCTGAAAGAATTATGTAATGATCAAAATTTCATCTGTCATGAGTCAATTGTCAAAATTCAAAAATTCAGAATTAACGGTATTTTACATTAATTGAGAAGAATTAGAAGAAGAATTGGACATTCATATGATGGTATTGCCAACTGTTCGTATTTAGCGGGAAATTTAAAATTTGGTGTTTTTTCGAAAAAAACCTAAAAGCATCCTTCATGAATTTATTACTTCCAAGAGAGTAGTGAGGTTCATAAAAAGGTAAATATCGTCTATCGGTACATGTTATCACCAATTCCTGAAAATACTGCGGTTTTATACTTTCTTCAATTTCGGGGTAATTTTCTTGAACGACGATTTCCGATGAATAAAATAAAAAATATCCGTTTTCTACACGCCATTTCCCACTTAGGACGAGAGAAAATTCTAGACATCGAACAAATAGCCGTTGAATGCCATAGTCATAACCATTATGACTTATTTAGCTATTCAGTGTAATTATGCCAAGTATTATTCCCTTGGTATTACTGGTAGGGTAGAAATCGCTCATGATACTCAATTCTATCAGGCAATTTTGAAAATTCATCGCGAAATCGACTAAATGACGATGCCGGCGGCCTATATAATATGTAAGATATACAGGAAAATTTTAGAAAAAACGCTCAAGCCATAGCACCGTTATTTTTTATTCTAAAATTTAGAACGCAACACCTACGAAGTGTTGAGATAATGTTATTTAAATACATTAGAGTATTTAATTTGCGAATGAAAATGATAAGCTTCAAAATTTGGACTGACGAATTTGAAATTCGAATGGAAGTTATTGACTTTGGAAGTTTTCACTTCTTGAAGGTGATAAATTTCCCTCTGGTGAAGCTCATCTACCGCGAAAAGCATATTTCCTGTTAGTTTGTAGTATATGGCATAACAAATTTTCGGTTATAATATTTTCGAATTTTTCAAGAAATAGTTTCGAGTTCTCACAGTTATGATTTATCATATTCGACAACTTTTAGAGATGTCACTCCTAAAATAAGCAATTTTCTGAGATGTAACATCTCAAAAAACAGCCGTATAACATGTTTTGGGTTTTTATTTCATTTGTAGACCTCATTATAATCTATTGTTGGGAAATCTTTCGAACACACATTTTTCCAAATGTTATTAATCCGAAATTATGATACATTTTTTTTTTCAAAATTGGAATTCAAACATAAGGTGGAGCTTGATATTTCATGCAATGGTAAATATTTAGAACATACACTTGAAAGTTTCATTCTAGTTTTGCATTTCTTCTTCTTTTTTTGAGGACTGTCTTCTCCTTGTTGCAATTTTTTTATTTTTCTGCAAAAGCTGATATTTCCTAATCCATTTCATTAGGTACAAGGCATGCAATAATGTGACAAATTGAAATATTCCATATTGTTATCGTTACAACTCGAAAGTTTGTTGCGTTTAATTCAATATTCCATTTACCTACTGATGAAAATGTAATAACGGGAAACACAAAAAATTTCAAAATGTGTCTAAACAATAAGACGCAATTTAGAATTAATTTGGTGGATTTGAAATATATTTGATACATATTTGAATAAAATTGACTGATTTGAAAGACAACTACTGAATGAGTGTACAAGGAGTATACCTGAATGAACATATTTTATAATTTTTTAAATTTGTTTTCACGCGGAGAATAGATAATTACTAATGACCAAAACGTGACCAACCAACCTCGTTTTTCAGCGATTTTTGACATTTAAAACATCAAAGATGTTGGCAATCAGAATGATGGAGTGTTTGCAACTCTCGCGAGGCACACATTTATTGTCCCAACCATGAAATATTCATACAAATATATACAAATCGTGACACTATTTTTCCTAAAAATCCGTCGATTGACATACTCCTGCTTGCTGCTTTGAATTAGCTCGCCTACGGCTACGGCTTTGATGAACAATGTCATTCGCGAAATTATTCATCATAGTGAAAATTAAATCATACAAGTTTCAGCAGTTTCTCAACATGCTGATTATTTTATTGAATCTCATCAACATCAGAATTTGTCGACGTCGAAAAAAGACGATTAGCAGAGTTTCGAAAAAATTCAATGTGTTCCAATATAAAAAACCAAGATATCAAACGCAAAAACCTGTTGGGCGTAACCATGCATAGTAACGCGGCAAGTATGTGGACAAATACTCAAGCAGACTCTTATTGGTCGACAGCGGCGTTGAAATGTTTCAGTCTAACTCGCATGGATCAGAATCACGTTTGTTCCGAACCAATTTGACGTTGTGGAATGTTCAATTCCTGAAACTAATAATAACTACCTCTCTCTCTTTCTCCCGCACCTAACCGTATCACGCTTATTCAATAATGTAAACGTGTATAATATTCTGTTATTGATTTTCTTGGGCGGAAAGCTGCCCGGACACGTGAGCTTATTCAATCAATTTTATTGTGTCCTTCCGGGAAAATGGTGTTGATGGAATTTAACAATTTAGCTCGCCGGAACCAGGCGGGTTTTGTCCACGAACTATATTGGAATTGAGTATTACATCTACATTATTCTACATGCCATGACATGGAATATCGTTCAACGAATAAAAAAATCAGAAGCAAACAGAAAAAAATCTTTCTACAAAACAGGACACAACATTATGGAGATAACAACTTTCGGTGAATTTGCACTTATTATGCGATGGAATTTTTTTCGAAACATTTTTTTGTTACCTACGTATTTTTGTCTGAAAAATGAGAATTTGATAATGAAAATGTGAACAAGATAATATATTTCACTATAAAGTTATATATGTCACCTTCTTTACCGTGGAAATAATTGAGAAGAAGCAGAATACTGAACATCAATTTATTCATTAAAGTAGTATAACATAATCAGTATAAACTCTTTCACTTTGACTCAGAAAAAGCGTCCCTAGGCCGTCCGATTCCAGTCGTTACTTTTCATTCCGTCTGACTACAAAGAATGACGTGGAATGACTGTTGACAGTTGTCAAGAAATTAAATTTGATTGACCAAAAACAAAACATTTTGAAAGTAGAATACAGTTAGAAGACTTTTTATCGTGATGTGAACCTCACGATAAAAAGTTTATGATTCTCTCAAGTAAGGCAGGCTTCATCATATCTTCATTCCCAGATAAACTGAATTCTCTCAACCTCAGAGAACTTGCTCCAATCACCACAATCAGCCAATCACTGCTTGATTTATAATTCTAGTATCATGATTTTGATAATATTCGGAGCTCCAATATATAAATATAACCTTCATCATCTATAATATGTCAATCATCTTTGAAATTTCTCGTTTCATTTGTAAACGTCATTTTGTTCCCACCACCGTTATCAGAATGGAGCAAATTAAACGCAACTAATGCATGGCGAAAAGTGATTATTAAATTTGAGAAAGTATAGGATCAGTGTCACACCATTATTTGACTATGAAACATATATTGCTTCTAGAAACTCAATTCTTCGAGGATTCTTTGAAACCAAGAATACAAAAAACAACAGGTTATTGAACTGTCATTTATTCATTAAAGTAGTATAACACAATCAGTGAAAAACTCATTCACTTTGATCACTAAAAATTCATTATATCTTGACATCAACAAGATCTAAGAACTTCACATGGATATCTCTCCATAAAACAACGTCAATGTCAATATAAGAAACGCAGGACAAATAAAACTATCACTACCTAACTAGAATCTCATCCTCCTAACCTCAACCTAACCCATAGACAACTTTCCATGCGTTAGCAGCTTCTTCACCGCTGCAAATTCAAGATTCAGAAGCCATGCTGCTATCCTGATCTGCAGCCATGCCGGCCACCATCCGAGCCTAAACTCAGGTACCGTGGTGGCGGTACTGGTACTATTAGGCACCTACTGAGGCACAGAAGGAGGTGCAATTGTGTTCATCAGGCCAGGCGGCAATATCTCAGCGTTTCTATGCCTTGCTGAATCTGCATTATAGTGTAAAGCTACTGTGTGTTATGATATCAAAAGCTCGGTATCTCGGGTGTCTGATTTGTATACCTCTATACCTTGAAAATGCAAAAAAAAACTTTAAACACAAAATCGTATTATGGAACAGTCATTTATTCATAAACGTAGTATAACACAATCAGTGAAAAACTCTTTCACTTTGATCACTAAATATTTATTCTATCTTGACATCAACAAGATCTAAGAACTACACATGGATATTCCTCCATAAAACAACATCAATGACAATATAAAAAACAAAGCACAAACAAAAGTATACCTACCTAACTAGAATCTCATCAACCTAACCCATAGACAACTGTCCTTGCGCCAGCAGCTTCTCCACCGCTGCATTGACATCCCCAAAAGTAGACACAAGCGCCTGCAAATTCACCTCTCTATTCACGAATCCCATAGCAGCCAGCTGCTCCAGCTGAGCCTGATACCGCTGCTCAGGAGCCATGCTGCTATCATGATTGGCAGCCATGCCAGCCACCATCCGAGCCATAAACTCAGAAAAAGCGTCCCTAGGCGCCCCAGGGACATCTGCCGCAGACTCAGGCACCGTAGTGGCGGTACTGGCACTATTAGGCACCTCCTGAGGCGCAGGAGGAGGTGCGATTGTGTGTATCAGGCTAGGCGCCGACTGTCTCAGCGTTTCCATGCCTTGCTGAATCTGCATTATGGCGTCCAACGCCTGAGAGTTTGTCATCAAGCTCTGGATCTCGGGGTTCTGCATTTGCTGCATGAACTGCGGCATCATGTTCCTCATTTGCGCTTGCAGCACGGGATTATTGGTGACCAAGGGGTTCTGCGCGAGCATAGCGTTGGCCATGCTGGGATCGGCGGCTAAGGCCTCCAGGACCGACTGGGTGTAGGGTGCTTGCAGCATGTTTTGCATTATGCTGGGGTTCTCTGACATCTGCTGCAGCAGACTGGCTAGGGGCGGGGGGTTTAGTACCCCTCTGGCCGGGGTGGTCTGAGCGCTGGCTTGGAACTGGGCAGCTGCGGAGGAGAGCATGGGCTCCTGGATGTTTTGGAAAAGGTTGGGGACGGGATTGGTGGAGTGAAGGTTTGTCGAGGGCTCAAGGCCCAGGGAGCGTTCGTGGCTGCGCATTAGTTCCTGGAGCATCGAGGGGTTGCGAGCTAGATCGGCTGTTTGACGGAGGAGCTCGGGGTTGTTCAGCGTTTGGTTTATTTCCGGGTACCTGCAGGAAAATTTCAAGATGAGTCGAAATGAACAATGAAATGGAGAGAGTAGAAATCGTCTAGATATATATGATACTATTCTTTCAAACATTATATCAAAGGAATTATGTGAATTAGATGAGATAATGGTGTCTCTTATTTATTCATTCATTCATTTATTTACTACCTACTTATATTTTCAAATACTGTGTTGTGTTGACTAGTATAAATAGGTCTTTGTAACAGGGCAATAAATATTGAATGATCAAATAAACAGTACAGTGAAGCACAAAAGCTAATGATACCTCAGTAATATTATTTTTGATATGAGGGAAATTATTTTGCATCTTTAGAAACGACAATAGTGGGTCAGGATTTTACGTACTCAAATCGTTATGAAGTTACCCGGTATGCAGATATAGATCTGTAGAATCATTTCAAATATGCACCATATCTGAAAACCAAAGCATCTATCCTACAATTGACACATTTCAGGAAACAAGTTGATTACTGAAAATATTATTTCAGCAATAACAAACACTTCCTTTCAGGAAACTTATTGCTTCATAAAACAGGATTTCTGTTTGTTCAATATTCTCTATTGTTTCTCAGAGCATTAATTTTGTAAATGAAATTTTCCGACAGACAAATAACAAAAAATGTTTACAATAGAAAGTGAAGTATACATCTACAACATCTACATAGACTTTGAATATAATTATCATTTTGGCACTATACAGACACTAGTCATTTCGTTTCTATAATATTCCTTACTTCTCATTCATTTGAGTAATGAAATAGACTTCTGTTACACTTCCATTATGTACACAAAGAATAATTATAAATATTTTGGAACTATTCTTTCTCAAACATCATTGAAAATATCGTTCTTGATGAGTACAGGGGCGTTATTTTAGTATTTAGTAGGAGGGGGCGACCAAGAACCCTACACAAAAATTTATTGTGGAGAAAAAATTCATTTACCACTCGGAATACCAGGAAAAAAGGAAAGTCCGTAGGAAGCATCTGACCTTAAAAATCCATTAGGTCATAGAAGACAGAAGACATAGTTTATTCGACAAACAGAAGACATACTTTATTCGTCAAACAGAAAGAAACCAATGAAAATTATACCTAGAGACATGTTTGCTTTAGTTACGCTAGAACTCCGTTTGCATGACAGAAGCATTATTCTTGACTGTTATATCGCGTTATCCTTCGTTCATCTTTCCAGCTTCAGGATTTACATAAATTTAGTAAAAAGACAACGTACATTCCGGTTATTCAATGACATCTCGCTGAAAACACAGCATCAAACAAGAACTTACATACGGTGAATAAATATAACTTCGTGAAAACTCCACAAACGACAAGATTTCCATGAAAACGCTACATGATTCGCTAACATGCACAGAAGCTTTCAAGTGAAATCTCGTGCAATGAATTTACCTAACATATTCTTGCCTAACTCATACTGACGATCCTAAAAAATGAGAATTACTTATTAGCAGGCTAGCTAATCCTTCTTTTCAGAAAGTACAATGGATTTTCATCAAGACGACCGAGTCAATGAAAAAAATTTCTAATTAAAATACGGAGACAGAAACGAGTCATGTAAATCGGAATAATTATGCATGGAGGAAATATGCGAACTATATCTTGGTAACCTATGACTTCGACTGATTACTTCGAACTGAGAACTATACAAGGAAAACTTGACAGGGTGGTTTCCGCTAATAATACAATATATAATATATAAAAACGCCAAACTTCTTCTTCACGTCTACCTAAAGATGAATTATAGGTTGATAGTACTATCACAATTCTAAAAATGACACTCTACAGGGTGTTTCGTAAGTACGTGTAGAAAATTCAGGAGCATGTTGCTGACGTCTAAATAGAAGGAAAATTTCTTATAAACATATGTCCGAAAGTTATCTGTTTCTGAGATACAGAGTGTGAGAGTTGAATTTATATTGGAAGAGTTCAAATAAGCAGGTACAAATAAGTAGGAATCATATTTTGCCTACATTCCAATGTGGAATGAAGAAGAATATTGAATGAAAGAAGAAAAATGTACTGGCGTATCTTTTCTGATATTCACTAGAGGCGACTTATGAGCCACATGGAAATAATTCGAATGCATCGATTATTTCGAATCCCAATAACTCGAAAACAGTTGCTCGCAGCGACCTCTACCAAGAATATATTTTTTACACAAAAGTGTTCTAGAAATCTGTTTTTTCACTATGAAACGTTATACAGGTACGCACAAAAAAGTTATCTTTTCAAAAGACTCAAATGACATGTAGGTGGCGCCACCCCCATGAGAGAGACAAACTAACATAAAATTTTATATTGTCATTGAAAAATACCGCTAGATACCAAATTTTATTCCGAAATCACAATTATTTTGAAATTTATCAACAAAAAACAAAAATAAGAATTCAACTTTGACACTCTGTATCTCAGAAACGAATAACTTTATATACATATATTTGTACGAACTTTTCTTCTTATTGCGACGTCAGCAACTTGCTCCTGGATTTTCTACACGTACTTAAGGAACACCCTGTATAGGCAAAGATGGAAAGGAAGCAAGAAGAAGTAGTTAACCTCAAAGTTGACCAAACAACCCACGCTCCTAGACCACCAAACCCACTATAAGAACCGCTACACCACCCACATACTCACACTTCTCTGGAAGGAGTAGGCAGATTGAGACCTTAGGGGGAACCAGTGACCAGTGACTCTTTTCCCGAGAAAGAACTGCAAGTCCTTTTACCTTCCATTTCAAGTCATGTTTACTTAAATTACTGAAACACCACTAATGTGATTACTTCAAAAGAATGAAATGTTGAAGATCCTACAAGAATATGCCTGCAACGCAGGTGTAACTCCTGTTGGAAACTACAAATTTCACGTCGATAATTTTCGGATTTCAATATAAATTAATATCCATCCATCCTTTTTCCTTCTCCTGTCACAGAAAAAAATAATGTAATACACAGGAAAAAAAAATTAATTTAAGCTCAGGGTTTTTTGTCCCCCTCCGCTAGGCGTCGGAAGACAACAAAGCTAAAATCTACTACTTTTTTCCCTGTATAATTAATAACTATTTCAATAATTGCATTTGTTGTTTATGAATATTCTGTAAACATATTAATGGCAATTTAAATTGATTAATTGATTAATGGTTCAAGTTCCTAGTAGAACCAGGAAATTAAAGAAGCTTTATAAAGAAAACTGAGGCACCATTATATTCATCTTCGGTAATGAAATAACCCCAACACAAAATCCGTTCAATGAAAAAAACAAAGACAACCCACCTCTGGATCAGCTCCTGCATCTGCGGATTCCTCGTCAGCAGCGACCGCATCGTCTCCGGATTCTCCATCAGCTGCTGCACCATCGGATTGTCCAGCAGGTTCCTCAACATGTTCGGATTGCTCAGCAGCTCGCTCTGCATCTGGTTCTGGATCTCCATGAAGTCGACGCCGCCCATGCCGAGGTGGGGCAGGCCCGCCAGTCCGCCCAGGCTGCCCAGCTGGAAGGGGGTGGCCCCCACGTCGGCGGGCCGCCGGTTGGGGTTGGCTTCGACCGGCTTGGGGGCCGCCCTGATCACCAGGTGGACGGTGAGGCCCTCGCGGATGTGGTGCTGTTGCATCGTGTCTTCGTCGTTCATTATTTTGCCTGGGGAAAGGTTCGCTCGAGGTTTCGTTGGTTTATCAAGGTTTCGTTGGTTTATCGAGGTTTCACAGTGAAATTGTTGGAAAATATTGCTCATAAAAAAAATACGGGTTTCGTTGGTTTATCGAGGTTTCAGAGTGAAATTATTGGAAAATATTGCTCATAAACAAAGAATAATGAATTCTAGCAGATATTTCACTCCCTCCACTCCACTCCAAAAAATGTAGGATGAAACCCATTGGAAAAGAGAGATCATAACGAAAATGAGATCGAATATAGTCTGTTCGTTTAAAAGGCGAAGTGATGGAATGTGGCAATGGAATGTTGTCGCAAATTTTCAAAGGGAAATCTTCCAGAGTAACCACTAGAGCGGCGTTGATATTTCATGAATTATACGTATAACCTTTTTCTGGGTAGAGTCGATTTTGCCGCTTTAATACAACAAAGTACGGACTACGAGGAGCTCCGAATTTCCGACAAACGCGCGGCTGGGGCAGGCCTTTTGCCGACAAACGCACCGCTTTGCCGGCCTAATTAAGTCAAAGGAAATAATAGGCACTCCGAGTTTTCATGGGCGTAGGGCAGATAACATAGCATGGGATCAACGTTAGTTGTGAAGATTGGTATTTTTAATGCCTTTTTCATTGACTTGTGATTCGTGACACATGTTAGTACGCTTTCCGACCTGCCTTGTGTTGAGCAAGAAGGAAACGTTTTTATAATATTTCGAGTTATCGCTGATGTGTGCCTGACAGTTCTCAAAGCTGGTTTCCGCCTTGATATTGTTGAGGCTTGGGGATAAAATGAAAACTATCACCATTTTCAATTTCATTAGGTGATATCTATAGTAATTTGTTATCATTCTCATGTGGATATATTATCATTAATCCATGTGTTTTATGTACTCATTTACTTTACTTCCAAGTAATTATAGGACTATAATCATTTGATGTATGGCTGATGATAGTCATATATATTTCCGAAACATGTAGCCCTGTTGATTGATCTGCTACTCACATAGGAGGTAATTATTTAGTATAGTTTTAATTTCACTCCACTTTGATAAACCAGAGACTTCTACCAAAGATACTGAAATAAGCAAAAAAAAATGAAAATAGTCGGTCACCCACACACCATAATTATCATTTTATTGAGAAAGGGCCATTACGTACCAAATAGTTAGTAAATTAAATAAGACCCCAAAAGAACTGTTTCTTTTCCTTTGAAGTCTGATTTTGTTTTTCCATTATTTTGACTGCATTGGAAGGTATAATCATATAATGATGTTGTACACTCTAGTCGACTTTTCGTCACATACCTATTTATTTTATATCGATAGTTCCCTGTATTGATAGTATTTCACAAGGACTTTCATTATATTCACAATAATCACATATAGGTTCTTGTTTTTCGAAACGACGAAAACCATTGTATCAAATTCATCAGGCTTCATTTCCCTCATTTTAATAATTATGCTTTTACGGAGCCTAAATATTTCTATTAGTTTTATTTCCTCTCAATATTTTCTATACCGTTGTGTTACTCACGCCTGTCATATTGGAATATACAGAGAAGTGCACAAAAAACGGCCACTGCTGTATCTTCTGATTGATTCTAGATCGGATTTCTAGAATTGGTGGGCAGCAAGGATACCAAATTGCTCATCCACTGACAAAACAATATCTGCATGGTCCATCATTTTCTGTTCCACTAGAAACGACCGCAACTTTTGATTTCTAGGTGGGACACCCTGCATTATATTCCATGAATTGTTAGGGCTTATCATAACGGATTCGAGGAAACCGCGTTCGATGGGGTTATTTCAAACGATTACGAAGGCTCTATGAGTGTGACATAGAAATGAGTTTTGATGGTGCTAAGTCACACCAATTGACATATGGAAATTTCGAACGCAAATATCTTCGTGATCATCTGAAATAACCCTATCGAACCTGGTATCGTTGATTTCGTCATAATAATCCCTTACCGATTATGGGATACAATACAGGGTGTCCCATTTGAATATCGAAAGTTGGGGTCATTTCCGTTGAAATCGGAAGTGATAGAATAAAAATAGTTTTGTTAATGAATGAGCAATTTGGTATACTTGCTATCCACATTTTCGAAATCTGATCTAGAATGATTAGGAAGATACAGCACTGGCCGTTTATTGTGCACTTCTCTGTATGATGTTAAAATTATTCACTAATACCTTCACGTTACGTTATCTTTTCGCATACGATTATACAGTTAGGACGATTGTTTTCTAACAATCAAGGCAGGACATCTCTGGTGTTTCAACAACACCGAAACAACCATGAATTGCTTTCATAGTTGACAGCAATCTTATTCCAAAGACACTTCGAATATGCAACTGAAAATGATATGATATGAGCGAGCTGAATTCATCGCTCTGAATTACAAATGTTTTCCGATTTATCGTTGGTCAAGCCCAAAAGCAGAAATCAATGGTACGCCCATGGTTGGTTTGGCACATTCCATTACTTCGCCTTCCAAACGAACAGACTATAGTATATTACACACCGAGGTGGGAAAATATTCATACCTGTCGTGAGATTAGTTAGTTAATCGAGACGCAAAGCATCGAGGTTAACTATGATCTGGAAACAGGAATGAAACTTCCTACAGAGGTTTGTATACTATTTTATTTACAATCATCATATTTCGATCGAAATAATTAATAAATCTCTGTTTCGTTCTACTTTGGTGACCGAGATCTTATTTTTTTAACGAGGCGTAGACAAACGTCAAAAAATATAGTTCTGAAGTAAAAATATGCTTAGCTTGATATTAAAAATAGTGTTGAACTGTCTTAAAAGGCCTCCCCTATCCACCCTCAGAACATAATTGGAATTTCCTTTCGTGCGCTCCAAGAGATAAAACAAAGCTATTGTTGAACATTCAGAAATAAATGATTTCGTTAATGTCTGCCAGATTGAGGGCATAAAGTTGAAATATAAATATCTCATATATTTTACATAATACGCGAAGTAGGTACTTCGCGCACTGTTTTACTTCGCGCATTGTTTTGTGCAAGGTATCATGGTAACGTAGAAAACTGAAAAAAAGTGTCACTTCGCAATTTGTTATCAATGCGTTAACCTTGTCATTTTTTGACGTTTGTAGAAAAAGTAAATTACGGACGATCTTAGGTCGGGAATTGGTAGGGGGTGAGCTTTCAAGGATAGAAAACGGTTTATCCCGATTTCTGGCAAAACTAAAAGCCCTATGGAGAAAAGTTGAGCAGCAAAGTTTTAGGTAATAAAAATATCTCTACCTTTTGTATTTACACTTTCTTCATATGATCTCAAAGTTTATGTGAAAAATTCAAAGAACCAAGTTTCTGGTTTTCTATTTTATATTGTTTAACGAAATTCAGGGAAATCTATTATATCCTTATATCCCAAAACCACTGTAGTTTTTTATATGAAATATTCATTTTTTTACCTTATCTTGACATATTATCGAGAAAGCACCCAAATTTTCAATCGAAAATTCTCCTGTCAAAATATCTTCTTTCCAAAAAACTCGACGGGCTTATTGTTCGTTGAAATATACCTATACTTTCTGATGGTGTGAAAGATTATAATACAATACTGTGGTAAATATTATCAGAAAATGCAAAGAAACGAAAAAGCAGCAGTCACAAAATATATACCTGGCAACTGCGCCCAAAACCAGCTTTACACCATAGCTGCAAATTTATTGAAATTATGTTTTCATTGTTTATTGGTGTTTTCGGTTAGAAAATTTATTCTTCATTCATTATATATGTGCTGTTTTTCTTGTATTCATACTTGTTGATTATGATCTGGTTACTGTGACTCAAGTTGAATGTTATCTCTATAGAATAATTAGTTCGACAGAAACGTTTTCTTTTCGGATACAACTGGTGGTAAGCAATGAGCTCTAATTTCATTTTCAGTATATTTCAATTGCATTGTTCAGTATATCAAAGGATATACTGAGTAAGTCTGATAAAATATTCAAACTTTGATTTTTTTTCCTTCGTTTTCAGTTCGGGCTCCTTCGGAGATTAGAACCTCACAGCCAAAGTTATTATACCCATGTTCACACTAGATTCACCGTTTACATCATCTTTTTCCGCCAAATTTTTTATTATTGCTCAAAAATATAAATGATTTGATTCATTTCAATAATTTATCTGTAGAATTACAAGGTACGTGGTATGCTCTTTCCTGGAAATCAAAATGTAATCTTTCAGCGGGATTACGGCACACGGCCGATAAGAAAATAACGGATTCAGTTGGTTCTTTTGTGTTTGCTCTACCTGCTAAACTTTTTGTTTACATTATGCCATGAACAGACACAACTATAGAAACAAAATCAACTTTAGCAAGTTTACCAACACAAACGAACATACCTAACCTCATAGGTTATTTGCTACATATTGGCCTTGTAACATAATAACTATAACGTTGAATGAATTTTTTGTTTTCCTCATTAAAATTTTCGGCTCATGTAATTATGACGCATCTGCGACCGTTATCGAGAAAAAAATTAAATCAGTAATTGTAATTCCCTATGTAAAGTGCCTCCATAAAGTAATGCAGAAATTCATTATTCATTATCGACCTGTATTCAGAAATTCATTATTTTATCGTTTATTTAGCCAATAATGAATATGTGCGTCACTTTATGGACGCACTGTATAATAAAAGTTGATGCAGCACATTAGGGTTTGAGCCCAGAAAAAATATCTCCCCGCAATGCAGCTTTGCGGACACATATTTACATAAAAAAAGTCTCATTTTTACCTGAAAAATAAGCCCCTGAGATCTTGATACTGAATTTTGAAACACCCTGTATATATAAGTGGAAAATATTTCCCCTTCTTCCAGATTAAAATGATCAAAATGATTTAACATATTCAGGTCTACATGTTTTTTATTGAAGTGTGTATTTTGGTTTTGTCTGTTTACATTTTCTGAATTTTGTGGTCCCCTTCAGTAGGAACTGTTATTTTATTTCCAGAAGTCAATATGTACCTAGTTTCTGAAGAAAAAGTGATTCCATATCAAAAGGATCAAAGCACATGAGTTCAAAAGTCTTTGAGAGTTTTCTACATACTCATGTCCAGCATCAAGTAGGGATAAACAAATACCTTCAATATAATATCTCATGATCCTACTCTATCTCTATGAGAATCAAGTTCATTCTGAATACTTTATTTCAAATACCTGAAGACCTGCTCTTATGTTTATATATCAAAATCACCAAGAACTCATGAAAACTATGATTTTCCAACAATTTCTCTAGATCAACCTAATCATAATTATATTACATCAATACTTACCTGCAAAAATCAAGCACAACTGATCTTGTTCAGCATTGAATTTAGGCCCAATCAGAGCCTTAAAATCTTTAACAACTGCATTCTCGTCAATCTCAAAACTTTCACGTTCCTGAGCGGTCTTCACATGCACATTAATTTTTTTAACAGGCGGTAGTTCCGGTACTACTTCTACAGGTTTCTCAGGCTCCTGCTCTTGTGAATGCACAGGAGCTTCGGATTCACCCTGATCTGTCGGAATTTGATCTGGGAATAGTTCTGGTTCAGTAGAAGCAACCTCAGATATTTCTGATGTTACCATAGGTTCAACTATTGGCTGAGGATGCTCAGGTTCAGGTAATACAACAGGAGGAGTTTCTAGTGATATTTCATCAACTGTTTCTATATTTGCGGATGGTTCATCAGCCATTTTAATGACCTTTTATATTGTATTTGGCTATGGTAAATTCAGCAATATCACTGTCATCCAAATGTCCCTGAAATGGACAGAAATATAGGTTAATATTTTTGACAGCCCAGCTCCTTCTTTCAATGACTAGTTCAGAAATGTGACATGAAAGATGAACATTCAAGCAACAATTTGATGAAGAAATACATAAGACAGTTTGAAATGCGAATTTACCATAGCAAATACCAAGATTTTCGATTTTATTTTCCATACTATGTTGGACCACATACCTAAGTAACAATTTTTTGAATCAACATCATTTTTTCCATTCATTAATCAGATACCCAGTAAGGTATATGTTTATATGAAATTGATTAATAAATGTCACCCTAATAATTAAATTTATTAAAACTAGGTATAAATACTAACACATCCTTCATAACGCGAAAAAAATACCTACCTATTTCCTGGAATAATTATTGTAATTGAGAGCCATAGAAAAAAACCAGGCCTGCAAGACCAGTTATGAAGAATAAAATTATATGTTGAAATAACATTCAACATCGCATGTTGGATATAAAAGTCCAAATATATTGATTAAAATAACCACTAATGTTGGACAAATTGAAGCGTATTGTAATATTTGATGTACTTTCCGGAAATATACCTTCTTTGTAGCAAAGGAAAGTTGCTAGGAAACAGGAAACTACCAATGGAAATACTCATCCAACTGACACGCGATAGACAACTGAGCTGTTTTTTTTTGTTGAACCTTGTTCAAAACGATTTGAAATCAAGCATTTTCTTGTGCAAGTTATGACGTCACCAAGTAATACGGTTCATTCCGGTTCAAAAACTTCTACATGAACGGTTCGAACCGTGTTCGAACCAGAAAAACAAGTGGAGGAGTGGAAAAAGGTCGAAGTTTGATGGTTTGAGCGTTTTAGGTTATGAATATTATTTTTGAGAAATTTACTATATAGCTCAAAAAATGGAGTGTGATGGGGGTATGGTGCATAATTTTCCACTTTAGGATGCTGGTAAATTTTCGAGAAGAATAATCATTTCCAGATTATTATCTATTTCTCTGGACTGCTTCAACATTTGTGAAAGACAAACACCGTGCCTCTTCTGCTGATTATCAATTAAACAATTCTTTTACACTTCTCAAGTTCTTACAGATAGTCATCAATTTTAAAATTTAATTATTGATTTCGGTTTTCAGGTTATGTGTTATGTATCTGACTTATGACAGCTTCAATTTCAAAATAGTCTGTTTTCTTGAATGAGATGAATCAGTACGTCACGCTTGAAAACGATTCAAAACTAATCTTGAACACGGTTCAACAAGAAAAAACAACTCCTGAAATTATTATAATCTTTATCCAATTTCCATCAATCGATTCCCTCATGGGAAAAAAGTACAAATCATTGGAATGCCTTCAACTCGGCCTTCAACCTTCGATGAGAGATGAGACCTTGTCTAGAATGTGAGGTTACATTCCCGAATAATGTATCGAATCAAGTTGGATATTGCAATATTACAGTTAACTTATCATAGATTATGATACGAAAAAGAATACATTGTATAAGATCATCTAAAACACTTTGGAGAAAGAGAAGAACCAAGAACGCTACTTGTTGGGAATAAACTTCCGTGGCGTTATGCTAACGAATACCGGCTATAAGAAACAATTTCAAAGGTTCTTCAAAGTTTAATAGCTTTCAAATTGTGCGCAATCATATATATGAGATATATTTGAAATTAATAACTTACCCTTATAGTCGCAATCAGCACTAACAATGGATGAAAACACTAAATATCTGAATTAGACAAAAAAAACTACAATGGCGGCATTGATGAAATTCTGAAGATGTTGAAATTGTCGTCTCGTCCTCGTCTGGTCGGGAGCACCTTGGGAAACACGCATGCGTCATTTCGCTTGTTCCGTGATTACTCCGTGCATCGTTTTGCCATCTAGTGGGCAGTGCATGATTCATCGGTAGGTGATCGGTAAAATTGCAGAATTCATTCCGCATAACATCATCTATGTGGTAAATAGATAAGATTACAGACTAGTCTCATTTGTTACCATTACCAATATTTTACCATTACTTATTCCCAAATTATTCAAAAATGGAAATTGAAAATATAAAACAACAAAATCTTGTCGAAGATGTGAAAGGATTACAAAAACAAACAAGAAATGGTAATTTGAATCTAGTATCTTTAGGAAACTCAATTTCCTTTAGTTTTATCATTTTTGTATATTATTTATTATACTATAAGTATATACCTATTATACCTATATAATTGTCTATGCTCCTAGTATATATTCATGATAGTATATAATACTTGTAACCTACCCTGACTTGATATTTCAATATAGTGGAAAACAAGCTTCTTAGCACAGAAAATGATGTAAAGAATGAGAAGCAGAAAAAAAATCTATATGAAGTGAAAATTGCTGAGTTCAAGAAAAATATTGAATATTATACAGCTACTTCAGAGGTATGGTGAGATACTTACCTACTTAAATTGAAAACAAGAACTTGAGGTATTTTCTAATACAAATGCAAAGTGCCTACTGCCTACCAGAATCTACCAGGTCCTTATGCATAGCATGGTGTAGACTCTGATGGGTTCTCTAGGATTTGAAATACTTACTGAAACATCTCTAATACTGAAACCTCACTGAAACAATGTTTTTCAGAAGTTGGGAGTACGATTGGCAGCTGCTAATAGAGTTCAGTCACAATTTGAAATTGCATCAGAATGTTATGAAAAAATGTTGACTGAATTAACTGAGAACTATATAGAGTACAACAAATATAAGACTGATGAACAAAGTAAGAAATTATAAAGATAGATAGGTATTACAATATACAAATAATATTCAACACAATTTTAGGAGGTGATGATGATCTACCACAGTCCAATTGTGATTTACAGCAGCAAGTCAGCAACAAACTAGATGAAATTAGCAACAACTTCAAACTAATAGATATACTTATGAGTGAACTGAATGTTCAAGATGTGAACTAAATTAAATACATAAAAAAAACAGTGAATTATGAGTTGATGAAATTGGAATAAATAAGTGTACATGTCTCATTGTTACATAATTTGTTTATTGAAAAAATTTGTATTATTCTCCCTATATGGATCTAATGAAATATTGATTTCTTCTAGTTGTTTTTCAGTCTGGTCATGGAAATTATTCAAATATAGTTTCACCATATCAGTTTCTTCTCCAACTAATTTTCTTAGCCTCATGAGCTCTTCCTTTTCTTTCATGAGACAATCAGCAATTATGTGGTTAACATCAGCTTTTCCTGTGGTAGGCCTCCTCAAAAAAACATTGCAAATAAACATAATTATATAGTTCACCTAAAACATGTATAAGTACATTATGCAATTATCTTGGCAATTATCATTAGTGACATATTCCTTACCAAGCATCTTCCTTTGGAGATGCTTCTTCAAGTTCTTGTAAATGACTCAGCTTTTCTGATATATTAAAATCTGCCCATACTCTCTCAAGGGCTTTATTGACAGTAGAAGTGATGAGGTTGGAGAAAACGCCATGCAGTTCATGGGACTGTCTGACTCTCAGGATGGATTTCATGTCATCTGCACTATAAACAACATGAAATAATAAGTGAAATACAAGTAAGTAAGTAGGTATAGTGATATTATCTAGACTATCAAAAAAAAGTACTAGGACATCAGAAATAGGTAGTTGCAAAGTCAAAATTATTTGGAATTCTATTATGAGAAAATACAAAAAGATATAATTGTTTACTGAAGTAGTTGGAATAGCTATTTATAAGCTAACAATTAACTAGAGAAGTAAAATGTTTTCACAATATCTACTATTTCCATACCTCCAGCAAGTCCAGCAGTATATGGCATAAAATACCAAACACTGCAATTTATTGTCTTTTAACAGCTGAATAGTTATTAGGTAGGTAGGTACATCTTATCATTAGACCATTAGTTCAACTAGCAATACCTACCTATAAATTATAGGCTCATGATTTTGTACCCTCTAGCTAATAAATGATAAACTTTACCATATCTTCCTGAAAACTGATGGACGAATCAATGAATGCGAAATCAGGCCGGGACTGGTGCAATATGATATTGAAAAACACATATTTGCACCAAATCCTGACCCAACATAACATTCAGAACCCACGCACTATTTTCTCATACTTCACACAATAAGCAATGTTATGCCATCTGGTTTGGTCCCCCATATTTGATGGCTAATAAACGAAAATGATAACCGTAGGTGTTCAAAGAGCCGTTATAAAGAATTTCAACAAAGAACACAACAGGGCAATGACATACCTGACCCCTGAGGGTATTTCTTCCGCTATCCTTTGCAATCTTTTGAGGTGGTCCTCAGGCCGTGAATCTTTTTCCGCCATTGCAATTATCGAATCTGAAATCTGAAACGATAAACGAAGTAGCAGCAGGCAGCTTTATGACAATCTCATGAGGACTTCAAAGAAAAAGAAACAAAAAACACAAAGACTGGACAAAACAACTATAAACTTTTGAAAAAAGTCGTTGATGAGATTTGACAATTTGACATATGACATTCCATAAAAGCCTGGTTGTGTCATCTTACGAGTTTTTTGATTACTATTCGAAAAGCAATCTTGAATATTGGCATCTCGGGCAGTAGGAATAGGAAAAGAAAACTGTAACAATTATGATGAAGAGGGCTGCCATGGAATGGATACATTGCAGCACACCTTCGCAGATTTCCGAGAGATGGCGGCTTCGACGAAGCCAAGCAAGGTTGGTAGAACTAATGATTTGCACGATCGATAGTGCGGCAAGGCGGGAAACGATCATTCGTGACGTCACAGGCAGTAGGATACTAAGATGACAGATGACAAGATGTCTAATACCTAGTGTACAAACCTTTTTGGTGTGCCCAGCATATTTATATTATTTATATCAATTTATAGTATATATATATACATAAGTACCAATATAAAATATA